CGAATAATATAAACAAAATAATACAATCGAAATAACAAATGAGATAATATTAAAAGAAGAAAAATAAAAATCAGGATAATAATAATGAAGACTTGTTCCTATTGGTCGAATGTAATATTCATATATCATTGTAAAACGTTGCCGTTGTATACAAATACGAACTGATGAAAACGTTTAAATTGTTTCTCGCTTTTGATTGGTTTTCAATTTCGCGGACTCAACTCTCCCTTCTCTGACGACTCTCTTGGCAACTGCGCGATCCTTCTCTTCGTCACGATCGAAAATTAAGGTACGTCTTATCAATAAATACGCATTAATTACTTCATTTTTAAACGTTTTAATTATTAATGCGTAGATCGAATTGTTTCACTATTGTAATTAGACAAAAATCGAGTTTGCATGACTGTAATTATTACGTATATATATATATATACATAATTATATTATGTTTGATCTTGAAGACGCAATAATGGCCGGATCGATCTTAAATTTTTACGTAATTATTCAAATTTTTGCTAAATGGCGTAGTAATTTTGCATTGAAAGTATCTTTCCTTGATGAAGAGTAATGCATTCTATCTGTAAAGGATATTTGTGATATATAAGGTAAATTTGATAAAGAAATTTTAATCCTTCCATATAGTTTTGAATAATTTTTTTATATATGAAAAATTTTTATTGATATATAAAGACAATCAATATTACAATATTTGGATTGCTATTATATATACGTATATATATATATATATGTTATAAATTCATCTCTAATATCATTATTATTATATTTTTCTGTAATTTGTTTTAATGTTCTTAATAATATTCTTAATAACTTTTAGATGATAAGAGATACAACTTATCATTATTATTTGTATTGTAATTATAATTTTAAACTTTAGATTTTAAAATAATGACTATTAATGGTATTTCATAAAGTCTATCTTCTAATTAAAAATATTTTATATATTTTCATTATTTTTATGTTAATCATTTTTCATTTTCAGATATCTTTGATATTAATCAGAAGTATTGTTTAAGAATTTAAAATATTTATGTTTTAATTATCAGTTAATAATCTGTAACAGCATAGAAATATGTAAAATTAAAAAAAGTATAGGAATGTCAATATATTTTAATTGTATACATAATTAATACCTTTTTTTTTTTGATATTAGAATATAGTAATATTCAGAATATGTAACTTCTATTTGAAATGGAGATATTTTTTGTCCTTTTTATTAAGTACAGAGCAACAATTAATAATTTATTGAAAGCAATTAATTATTATATCCTACAATTTATGGGTCTCCACATGCAGCAACCTCCACGTGGTGAGACCTGGGTCGGTATTACTTGCATCCCATTTAGATTATATAATGCAAGTACTACCTGGCTGATTGGCTGCATAATTAGATTTGGATATAGATTTTATTTGGATATACATGCAAATTAAGATTTTCAATATAAGCAGTAATTAATTAATATCTACTAAATTACACGTTTTTTTTTTTATAATTTCAATATATATATATATATGTATACTCTTAACCTTATTTTATAACATGTACTAATTCTGATAAATTTTTTTGTTCACAGCTAGGATTATAATGAAATTAAAAAATAAATTTTATTACAATATATACTGAAATGAATATTTACAATATAAGCAATAATTATTCAATATGTACTACAATTTATTTTTTTTCTTTATAGGTTTAATATATATATATATATATATATATATATATATATATATATATATATATGCACATATACTCACCATACATATAAATTCTTGACATTATTATATAACATGTATTAATCTATAAAAACTTTGTCTGTTCACAGTTTGGATTATAATAAAGTTTAAAAGTAGATTTTATTGCAACATATATTGAGATGAATATATCCAATATAAGCCATAATTATTTAATATGCATTAAAAGTTCTTTTTTTCTTTCATTACAGGTTCAATATAAATATACAATATATAATAACATTATTATATAGCATTTATTAATACTTGAAAGCTTTATTTGTTCACAGCTTGGATTATAATAAAGTTTAAAAATAGATTTTATTCTAACATATGTATATTGAGATGAATATTTCAAAATATAATTTTAACAGTTACTCAAAATGTAACATCTTACATTTCCAATGTAAGTAATTATTATTAATTATTCTGCATATAAATATATATATATATATATATATATATATATATATATTCTTAACATTATTATATAAAATTTATTAATCTATGAAAATTTTTATGTTCACAGCTGGATTACATTCATCTTTGATCGTCTTTGATTAATAGTTAATTCATTGATTAAGATAGTTCATGCATTCCTAGATGCAATCCTTAGTTGGGTAGCTGGAAATTCCGTAAACGGATGAACGCATCAAAGGCATGAGGTAGACGACATTACCTATATTTCCTCCATGACACAGATACATACAAAGGATGGGAGTTAAACGCATGACCACATATAGCAGAGGTACGAATATACTTATATACATAGACGAACATGTGTACACGGGCTCGTGCACACTTAGAAATGTATCGTGAGTTATCGCGCGCGCAATACATCGCTGAGTATTCCATCGTTGGTCGTGCATCCTGACAGAGACGTTATTGCTCGACCAAGAATGGTACGTGACAGGAACTCGATACGATTCGCGTAAATACGCGTTACGAACGCATTCCAATTTCATTATACGTGTCGTGTACGTAACGCAACTTCTTCCTTTACTTCTTCTTTTTATATTTCTCTTTTTTTATTTCTTTTTCTTTTCTTTTTTTATTTATTTTTTTTTTTTTGTCATCTTCAACAAAATCTTTACATTTAGTTTGGAACGAACGATCGTTCGTTCCTTCTTAATATTTATTATTTATTGTTTCCAGTGTTTTCTTTTTCCTTTTTTTTTCTTTTTTTTGTTTACGTCGAACGTAAAGATTAATAATATTCATACGTATACACGTATGGAGTAAATGGAATCAAAGAAATAATTGGTATTTTAATATAATTAACTTTTGAATTGCATTTGATTTGATGACGTTTATTAGAGGATTAATAGTTGGTACTTTAATCTTTAATCAATTGGAATTTCAATTGGAATTTGCTTTAGTTCGTATATTACTTCGAAATTTCTAGGTATAAAGTAAACGTAATCATAAAACGGAAATATGGTAACAAACCATGGTAAATATATTTAGTCAATTTATCAAATTAGCATTATACTATGCACTTGACAATGCACAAATTACATATTCTAAGGGGTTTTTAAACATTATATGGAATATATTTGAGATACACGTTACTTTGAAATTAGAAATTAAAAATGGAATTTACTGTAGAAAACTCATTTAATTTTTGTCATAGGCAGTATCGTGATTTTAATTCTAAAGAATATAAGAAAAAAAAAAAAAGAAAGAAAATGAGGAAATGTAATTTCTCTCTGTCTCTTTCTTTCCCTCTCTCTCCCCCCCCTATCTCCCTCCCTCTCCTCTCTTTTTCTTTGTCGTAGATTTTCTTTTGTACATTTCTTTAACTTTTAACGAACGTCGTGACGTCGACCATTGCAGAGGTTAGGAAAAATAAAATAAATATTAAAAAAAAATAAATAAAGAGAGAGAAAGAGAGAGAGAGAGAGAGAGAGAAAATAATCAAAATTTTTTTTACATTTACCCGAATGAGTTTAATACTCTGGATGTGTATTAAAAATAATAATTCGAAATAACGGTCCTTTCGTTATAACGTTACTAACGTAAAATTGATAAAATTGATTAATACGCAAAAGCGTATTTAAGTTCGACATTATTTTAAAAACGTGAGAGATATACGGCAAATAGATCTACGGATATTAATATGCAGTGAAATTGATTACTTTAAAAAAACAAAAAAAAAAAGAAAAAAAAAATATATATATATAAAAGGATTACACAGAGATTTATATATATATATATATATATATATATATATATATATAATAAATATATATATTCTTTTTTTTTTACATAAAATCGATTTGACTACAGATAGCATACTGGGATATAAGTTAATACTTTTCGCGAGATTAATAGTTTTTCGATAGTATATATAAATTGTATATGTATACACATACAAATAGATTGATCTTCTCAATTTCGACGACCACAAAGCTGTATCTCAATCAATAGTATATTTCGGAAAGGGAGTTAATAGAAGAAAATAGTATAACACGCGATGTTGCGTGTCATTTGGTCATGAATCTTCTAGTTGGTCACCTGTGAAATCGTTAACACCGTGTCCACCATGTTCGTCGTTGTCGAGAACAAAGAAGAAGACGGATAAAATAAAAGAATGAACTTCGTATTAATTAATATAATCAATTAACTAATTATTTAATTAATTCCAGTTAGATATACGCGTTCGAAAATTTCCGCCGATATTTCGTTGAAGAATAATGATATACATATATATATATATATATACGCAACGAACGAAATAGCAGCTATTTTATCGCACTAACGAAAGCAGCGAATCCCCGATGCGTTTGGAATATAAAAATGAATGTAAATTCGAAATTCTACCAAGTCAGAAGATGAGGAGGGTGGACGGGCGGGTTGGGAGGGGAAGGGGAGGTTACGAGATACGTTCGTAGACTGACGAGAGATTTCATTAGATTCGTTAGAATATAAACGTGAAACGTGGACACGATCAACGTTTTAATGCAACGTATGCTAAAACTTGCGAACGTATATCTAATTTTCCATTTTTTTCCCTCTTTTTTTTTTTTCTTTTTGTTTTTTCTTTTTCCATTTTATTTATTTATTTTTTTTTTTTTCGATTCATTTAACGAGATATGTTGCTGGCATTGTAGAACAAAATTCAAAAGTTTTCGTTAATCGAGTAGGAAGAAATTTCAGTCGTGTACGATATTTTTATGAGAATATTTTTGGTGTTTTTATTTCTCTCTCTCTCTCTCTCTCTCTCTCTCTCTCTCTTTCTTTTTCTTTTTTTTTTTCGTAGCATTTCGTTTATAAGAAGTCGGGGTCATAGGATACTATCCAAGCGAATATAACTAGAGAAGTCTTTTTAGACGAAAGCTCTCTTTCTTTTTCGAAAATCCTTTTCTTAGCGCTCGTGTAGTTATTTCTTTTATTATCTCTCTCTCTCTCTCTCTCTCTCTCTCTCTCTCTCTCTCTCTCTCTCTCTCTCTCTCTCTCTTTATTCTATCGTAGCTATCTCTCTAGTTTCGTTCATTCTGTTTATCGCTCGGAAACGGAGGAAACTGGAGCAATTAATGATCCTGCAATACTGCGAGACCGTGCTCTGTTGAAGGAGTGCAGCTGACTCGTCGTGTCTCACAGTAGTAACAACTTCTACGATGGAGTATCTTCCTCTCTTCCTGATTCTCTTTCTCTTTCTCTCTCTCTCTCTCTCCCTCTCTCTTTCTCTCTCTCTCTCTCTCTCTCACACTTCTCCTTTCTCTTCTGCTTTCTCTTTCTCTTTCCATTCTATAGAAGAGAAGTAACTTACTGAAGGATATTTCTCTCTATCCAAGAATTGTCTTTATGCTTCTTTCATCCGTCGTGTCAAACGATACCACCGTGCCTTTCCAGTTAACGGGAAACTATATTAACTTTCTTCTTTGAAACGTTGTAATTACTTCCCGAAGGGTACCACCACCCCTTTTATTCTCACTCGACTTGTAAGCTAAACAAGTATGCTCGAGGTGGAAATTTAAAACTGACAAATTATTCTCGATCGATCTCGGATCGTAGATTATTTGTAATAATTAATGAATTATAATGAAAGGTATAAAAGGGCCGCGGAAGGGGGAGGGGGAGGGGAGGAGGAAGGGGAAAGGGAAATAAAGGCCAAAGTATGTTCGATAAGTCTTAGATATTTTTTAATCTTCTTTTTTTTTCTCCCCTTTCGTTTTCTTTTTTTTTTTTAACTTTTTTTTTTTTTTTTTTTGGAGCCAAGTCATGGGATGGTAGGAGCTTGGTGTTCGAGTGAGAACGAGGAAAATCTCATTCATACGGAAATATTCGAAAAGATTCAAAGAATATCGCAATAAATCTGTGCAGTACTTCGAGATATTCGCGATACATGTTCCATTGGTTGGTCACCTCTGCCGTTCGTACAAAAGAAGTTCTCTTTTTATTCGTTTTTTTTTTCTTTTTTTTTCCTTTTTCCTAGAATCCCTCTAGAATCTATACACGAACTTGAAGGTATCGTACTCACGAGGACCACCGATATTATACTCGTTGCATTGTGTCCAACGAACATATGAAGTTCCTTTGTATCTTTGTAAAAAAGAAAAAAAGAAAAGAAGAAAAAAAAAAGAAGAAGAAAGAAAAAAAAAGGACGCTGGAAGTAATACCACTAGAGCACAATGAAAAATAAACACTTTTTCCATCTTCAATGTTACATATAAGAACGATTCTTACGATGGTATTTCACATTGAAACGAAATCCATTGGTACGTCGTTTTAAACGATCGTTCATTTTCTCCCTCGAGGACATTGCTTCGATAATAATGGTGAAACCACGAATGGAGAGCTGGACCGTCGATTTAACCACGATCGTCGGCCACGATTTAAATCGCCATGACTATCGTTTTCGAAAAGCAATGAATAATAGCTTCGGGAAATGAATGTTGAAAGTGAACGAATAAAAAAAGAAAAAAGAAGAAACAAAATAAAGAAAAGAAAAGAAATGTTCGTTATCCAATGATATATAACTTCTTACAATTATTTCATGTTAATGAGAATGTTTTTTTCACGGGAAATATGATAAATTTTTATAATATTACATATATTTGTAATTAATTATGATATGAGCAGATATTATTTTACGATTAGATATTTGAAATTATAAGGCATTATTAAATAACACACACAATTTAAAGACTTAATTTTGATAGAAGACAAAATCAAGAAATTTTTGTACGACAGCGATTTTTTTTTTTTTTTTTTTTTTTGTCATTATATGAGATATAATTTGACGACAATATTATATAATAATATATTATTGTATGATATATAATAATAAATATTCATACGTATTATTATATATATCATAATATTATTATATATTATTATATATCATTTTATCATATTGTTATTATTATGTATCATTGTATTTTTATTTTATTAATTTGAATTTCGTGAAATGATTAATAAAAAGTAACAGAGGGAAATTTTAATGCGACGAATTTTTCGAAATATTACAAATCTTCGAAATAGCACGAATCTCTCGTATTTTATTATTATTATTATTATTATATAAATATATATATATATATACATATATAATTTTTTTTTAATCTATGTATACAGTTCTTTTTATGTAAATACGCGTTACTTTACGATTATTTGTTTCGTTGTTGTATAACAATAAAATTTCGTTTAATACGTTCTCGATAGAGGAAGGTTATCTCTGTAGGTGATACAATTTAATAATAATAAACGAGAAAAAGAAAAAAAAAAAAAGAAAAAAGAAAAAAG